CCCAAAAATCGAATTATACTACATTAGATGCCCTTTCAAGATTATGGACAAAATTAACTGGGTCTGTTTTTGACTCTGTAGAGCTAATTTAGCAATACTAAATATTAATGTGATTAACTTCTTTGTACATATTTATTTTGTCACAGCTTGAGGTTTTAAGTATCCAACATTGTATTTGTATGGTATTGTTCATTTCTTTCACAATCTAGAAGCTCTTGAGAACTTTGTAGGCTGTATTAAGATCTCATATCACGACAGGCACCTTTACCTGGAATAATTTCTTCCATATCAAAAAACACTGAGATGGAAGAACACAGGTACGCTTCACTACATGCCTACAATACTGCATCTCTCAGTTTCCCTACCCTGTGAAGTCTCAGGGTTGGCAGAGGTTTTAGGTATGTGACTAGAGCCCTTGTTATACTGTGCACATGCAACCCAGCCTTCTCTTTCTGAACTGGAGAAGGGATTCTGATTCCAGGACACATCTAGATCCCTTGCTGAACCTGGAGCTCACTCACTGATTCAGCTAGACTGGCTGGTCAGAGAACTCCAGGCATCCCTCCTACCTCTGTCCTTTCAGAACTGGGGTTACAGACTCACATCACTATGCCACCCTTTTATGGGGTGCTAGGGATCCAACCGTGAATCCTCATCTGCACCATAAGCACTTCACTGACTAAGCCATTTCCCCAGCCCACACTTGTACTTTAGAAGGAACCTGGAGTGACAGAAACTACACTCTAGGTTACCTGGGGGCAGAAGGCCCTTCTATTCAAGAGAAGCTCATTTTGGTCCTGGATCTTATACCAGGTACCACTGTGGGCCACAGTGAAGAAAGTACAAATATATCTTTGGAGTCTGAGTACACACATAGACACATCAGGTTGAACAGTACTAAAGCAGGATGAGGTATCAAACTGTCAATAAAATCCTTACAATAAAATGGTCTCCATATCCAAGGTTAACATTAGTGGCTCTTTATTCACTCATTCAACAATTACTTCCCAAGCCCCCACACCAAGTGCCGGGCACGAAAGTGGAGGACTTGCAGTAAGTGGGACATGGCTCTTGCTATTCTGAGCTTATTTGAAAGATGAGGATGGCACAGAGTGAATCTGTCTTTGATCTCGGTATGCCAGGCACTGTCCATTGTGAAGGAAAAATAGAACTAGGTGAGATGGTGGGTGAGGGTCATACATAGGTAGGAAGGACTACTCAAACAGCGTAGTTAGAAGACTACTCAGATGTGCTTCGTCTAAGCAGTGCCCTGAGATGGGATGGGGGATGGGCAAGATGGCTCAGCAGGTAAAAGGCATCTGCCACCAAACCTATGACCTGAGCTCAATCCCCAAGTCCCATATGGTGGAAGGAAACAGCATGGGAAGGTAGAAAGACTTTTTTTCACCTCCTTCAACTAAATATTCCTTCTATCTACAGATGCTAGAGGGAAACTGACTTTATTTTCCTCGTTCCTGGAATG